TCTCTCTCTCTCTCTCTCTCTCTCTCTCTCTCTCTCTCTCTCTCTCTCTCTCTCTCTCTCTCTCTCTCTCTCTCTCTCTCTCTCTCTCTCTCTCTCTCTCGTTTGCTCGATGCTCTACACCCACGCTACATCTGTTCTACCCGCGTACGATCCATTCTCTCTCTCTCTCTCTCCCCGTCCCTCTCGCTGCATTCTCGTAAAGTTGGATTTTACTGTGCGCCGAATATGAGCCATCGCGATCTCGCGAGAACCGTTTGGCTCGTCGCACCGCGATCGAATAGATTTGCAAGGAATCTTTTTTTTTTTTTTAATGAGAATCACGAGTGGCGGAATGTTGATCCCACGCGATTTGCACAGCGGCGTGTGTCGCAGCGTATTTATTTCCAGCGACTGTCATACCCCAGAAAGCATCTTCCAATCGGCATTGTTCGAGTTTCGCAAGAGAAAAATAGATTTATATCAATAACACGTAAAATATTCAGGATATTGAAAATTTGAAACCGAATCGTAAAATCCACTACAGGTATAGTTGAAATATGACAATTTCGTGAACTTGAACTATTCTTATTTCCAAATACGGGAGCGCGCCTTGGGTGTCAAATTAACAAAAGCATAACTGCAAAAGTAACACTTGTTTCACTCAGCATGATGTAACATTTATTTCTTAAAAATCATCATGGGATATTACTGTATGTATACTTATACGCTGCAAAGAGTGTTCAGGCGGTTTTGCGGCTTTTCTCTATCACCTCTGAGGTGACGTCAAAAGTGCCCGAGGCATCGCGCGGAATCGAGAATCAAGGTGTCTAGATCGCGCTACGTGGACTGGACCAAACGAAATGTTTCGACGGTGATTCACGGCCGGACAATGACCCCGATTAATGATATCAGTTTTGACAATATGGTGCAATACCTGGCGACAAACCGAGGGTTCTCCAATGTGCAATAACTTGCAAAATAAGACGTCTGTAAAAACAAACGGCTTATATTTTATCGAGTATAATTGCAAATATAAGTGAATAAATGTATAACTTGTATTTCTCTACCAGGAAACGTACGCGCAGCACAACTCAAACGGCCATTTCTTTAATACTAATTTTACAAGTGCGACTCACAGTGTCTTCGTGTACGTATCCTTCTCTTGAAGCGGCCCGTGTGAATTACTTGCGACGCGTAAAAAAAATTAATCATCTTGGGCGCAAGAATTAAAGTGTCACGCGCGGGTGTCCCTCGCGTATTTCTTGCGTTGCTTCGAATTGTTCCCCGTCGCAACCACGTGTTGCACTAGAGAATTCTGGCCGAGATGCTATCGACCCACCTTACTACGCTATCTCAACCGTCAGCAGGCTGGTAGCTCTGGCGATTGGGCAGTTCTAGACAACGTTACACAGAAACTTTGCCAAAACAATTCTAACAGTTACTTATAAAATATAGTGATCTGTAAATAAATCAATGACTAAATTTTTGATAAATTGGACATTTATTTTTGGACAATCTTAATTATAATATATGCTATAATATTAATATAACAAAGGTTTCGTCTCATATATGCGCTCATTATAACATACGAAAGTCTAAGGTCTAAAAAAGAAACGCAATGTAAAAAAAGGGTGCATACTGCACCTCGGGCGCGTGCTTAATTTCAAATAGTATTATCAGTCACAGTTTTATTCGCAATAACGTGACTCGTCATAAAAGTTGATCTCATGGCATAATCGCTCTCGATAGAACAATAAGTCTTCTCTCACGATCAGTAACTCTCGTTACTCTCGATCTATTAGTCGCCTAACGATAATTCTAACGGTACACCCTACATCGACACGCCACTCGGAGCAAATCGATCTAAATGCATTCTCAGACGCATAGCTATAAGAATATCAGTGCTTTTCCTCTCAATCTCCACCAGTCGAGGCTATGCCCAATTTCCGGGCGTAGTCATCAAGCATTGTCTTTCCGCGTGCAATTACCTATCGCACTATCTCCGATCGTTTCGTTATCTCTCAGAGTCGAGCTGCTGCTCGCTAGATTGGAAAACACGAATTCGTATACACGTGACTATCTGTCAATTATTCCTCCTTCTTTCTATAGCACGACCGACGTGTACTAACGGATCGCCTGTATAAAACTCTGCGGTATAAGCGGTCAAGGTGACGCTTCAGGAAGTGCTCGCATTTACGGTGTACGTAACTTAAAAAATCGCTCAACTCACGATTTCGCGACGGATGGTGGGCGTTCCTGCTCCGGAGTGCATTGTGCAGCGTCACGTATAGCTGGTACATGAGCTGCTCCTCCGTGCTGTTCTCCTCGTTGTTGGGCAAAAACGGTATTGCCATGGTTCTCCTCCGCTCCTCTTCGATCGGGGCAATCGCGGGCAGTAGTTGTAGCCCGAGTCCAGGTCCAAAGCTACGCGTTCGCTCGGTCGCTCCCGCCTAGCCCCGGGATCGACGCACTGTAACCGAACCAAGCAACGTCTGTTGTTGAGCTCACTGTTGTTCACTCTCTACGTCTCCCCCGCGCACTCTCCGAGGACCCCCCTCCCTCTCTCTCTCTCTCGTTCGGAGTCTCTACCTGAGTCTCGTGCCGTAAATCGCAGAAACGTAAACGCCACGGAGACGCTACACGTGATCGGTAACGAGTTCATCGGCGCGCGCTCTCAACGTTCATCGTTCCGGATCGCACGTGGCCCCGCGCGCGCGCGCGCACGCAGTGCACCTCAGTGCAGATTGCTGCCCCCCCCTACCCGGGGCCCCCCCGAGTCTCGATCTCTCGAAATCGGACCTCCCTCGAACGTCTGACTCAACGCTGTCAGACGCTCTCGAGCCGGAGGCGAATAATGATAATAAAAACAAAAAAAGGATCACTCTCGCATCAAGCGAATCACCTGCTGAGAAATTCGTAGGGCTACGAAACTGTCCCTTCTCACGGCTGCTGGTCGGCTGCTCGGACGCACTGTACGCAACACGTTGAAGTTTCGTGACTCTTCGAGAAGGAAAGTATTCCGGAGCACGAGGGAGCGCGATTCAGTGTCCCCCCGCGGCTGTCCGGCTGGCGGCTGCTGCACCAGTTTGGTTCACGTCACTCGTTAGGATGCAACACATATACGAAGGGGGGTCGACGCGCGTGGATCACGGGAGTGTCTCGCGCGCGAACAGTCACGCGAGGTGTCCCGTAGCAATTGATGCAACACAACCGAGATCAGGCCCGGGTCCAGGCTTGACGAGCGACGATTAAATATCGCCGGCTGTCCTCTTTGGCGCGATATATCACACGCGTGTTGTATTTGAGCGGCGCGCGTATACGACGGGGTGCGGCGGGCAAAAGCGGAGAGAAGACGAGAATACGCGGAGCGACACACGGAGATCTCGACTGAGCTCAGGGTAAACGAGAAACACGTCTGTTCTCCTCGAGGTCTGGCGTGGTAATGATTCTGTGCTTTCGCAGCCACTCGGTCCGCACGTTCTGCCTTGCGGCGGCAACCGGCTCTTCCCTCACTCCGCTTCACCCGCGCGGCCGATTGGTCGTGCGGTGGGGATGCGTGCGCGCGCAACCTGTGGTGAGGGTAGCCGATTTACTTTCGGGGTGGGGAACGCGCGAGGAGCGTGACAATACATTGTCTTGGGCTCCTCGGACGCCGCGAGTGAGCTCCGTTTGAACGCTAACATTTACTGCAATCATGTTTTTGCAATCGCCAGACACCACGGCGCAGCCCCCCAGCATCAGTGTAGCGGGGAGTCCTTTAACATAGTCGAGATACTGCGTCTTTAGGCGGGGATACTTATTGATAAGAGACGTTACACGACGAGGAACATTGTTAACTTTATTCCATAGAAATGTGAGAGGGGGGGGGGGGAAGTTCTCCCACTCTCCCTCCTTTCGTCTTGATTTTGGTTTGTCGGAAGTTCTTCGGTGCGTGAGATCTGTCGAAAAATTTTGTGCGTTTCCCCCGCCCTCTTCGACATCTCGATTTTCCTACGGCGTTCCGTTCGGTGGACGTCGATGCGAGAGTGACTCGCTCTCCGTGCTTGGAGGACGCAAGTGCAACTCGGTGGCGCGCGCGCGCGCGACATAGTCTCGGAATACGGCGGAGCGTGTAGCATGTAGCAATGGGGATCTCGGCGAGGGAGAGAGTGAGAGGCGACGCACACGAGAGTGCCGGGCCGTTCGCGTGCACCTCGGAGCCGTAAAGGCGCGTATGACACGACAAAACGACACTCGAGCGCAACTGCGCAGTTTACGCGACCAAGTACGAGCTCCGCACGAGGGCGGGGGGAGAGGAGGGAGGGAGGGGGGATGCGGCCGCAAATCGGAAACGTTTACTTTACCGCCGTTAAAATTAAACTCTCGGAAAAGCTGAAAAAGCTAAACGTTACTTTCGCGCGCGAGAGATATATATAGGGTGTACTAAAACCACCGGATATCCTTTTAATCGCAGATTCTGTAGAAAATTTCAAGAGAAAAATTCTAATACAAAAATGTCGAGGCTATAATAGTTTTTAAATAATAAGCGATTATATTTCACAAATGGCAGGCCTGAGATTTCGCGCGGTCAGGTACGGCGACATGACAAGTGATGGAAACTGATATTGAACGACCACTTTGACAGCTGCAACACTTTGAAGTTACAAAATGTTCCAAATTTAATTAAATGAAAAGGGGCGACATTCATAGGAACACTTTTATCACTCGTCATGTCGCCGTGCCCGAGCCCGCGAAATCTCAGGCCTGCCATTTGTGAAATATAATCGCTTATTATTTAAAAACTATTATAGCCTCGACACCTTTGTATTAGAATTTTTCTCTTGAAATTTTCTAAAGAATCTGTGATTAAAAGGATATCCGGTGGTTTTAGTACACCCCGTGTATCTTCGTTTCTCGTTTTAATTTCAGCCGCCCCGACCTCACCGATTGCTCCTTCTTTTTTTGCACTAACGGGGGGGGGGGGGATTCTTCGATATTGCATAATATTTCGTTAAATAGACACGGTCGTGCAACGATGAAATATCGCCGACGGTACTCGATTGATATTAACGACGTCTAAATATTAACGCGATACCATCGTCGATATTGTTGCATTCGCTGCGTTCATAGGCGATAATAATATGCGCTCGAGCGATAACGAATATCGGTCTGCGGGGTCAAAGATCAATTTTAATCGTTCGAATGGCTGCACGCCGAATTAATGAGCTCGGACATACTTATAATTAATTAGGGGACGGATGAGTGTAACGAACACGCGGGACAACCCGCGCATGCGCTTCGTTTTCCCGATAATTCGCGACGGTGCGAGTGACATTCGCGGCGTCGCGTCGCGTCGCTACGGTTAGATCCTTCTCTCTCTCTTTTTTTTTTCGGTACAGCCGATGAATGGACGGGAAAACGGAGAAACAAGAATACAATACGTTGCCATTGCGCGCGCTGATTCATGATGCATACGATGCGCCGTGCGCCAGCTATGCGAGAGCGACTGCATAAATAAATATGAGCATATTGGCTTGCGCGAGGGCATGCACGACGCGCGTGAAAAACGGAATCGCGCATTCAGCGCGGATCAAGGAAAGAGTCAATGTATTAACCATTAACGTTGCCCCTTTCGTCATATACGTGAATTTCGCGCAGATTTTAATCGCGCGCGCGCTTTCTTTCGCCTTCGCCTCGCGCAAGATCCAGACTTCAACACTTGAAACATGGAAACGCAATTTCACGCGAGCTAGATTGACGTTCGGCCAGTCGATAGAAAAATAAAACTGAGCGCACTTCACTCGAACGAATTTTCATTCGTCGACGCATAACGTAACGCTGGCACAATGGGAGCGTGTTAAACAATCTCGAAAGCGTGAGCGTGAGCACCACTCGAATCGATAGGCGATCGACGTCTCTCTGGCGTACGCGAGCGTGGAGAGAGAGAGAGAGAGAGAGAGAGAAAAAGTGGAAGATAAAGAGAGAAAGGGAGAGAACAACAGATTAATGTCAGGAGTGGAGCACACGGAGAGACACTGTCATTGGATATCAGATGTGGGAGTTAAAGGCCAGGTGAATCTCGGCGCGTCGGGGATGACGTTACAGAGAGATGACATTACCACTGTAGAACGGTGGAAACCGGAGTCGGTGCGTGTGTCGAGATGTGCGTGCCCTGGTCGTGGCTCGTGGGCTCGACGGAATGACGATGTCGATATCGGTGGACGTTTATATCGGCCGCGAGAGAGAGAGAGAGAGAGATATCGCGCGCCCGTCAATTATCAGACCGCGCCGCCGCTGATAATTTCGCGGGCGAAAATTTCAGCGGACGAGCCTTGAACCTTGGGATTCTCTCGTGGCGGATCGATACGTGAGCTTCACCGCGCGCGTCTTACAGGAACTGCTCGTTATGAGAGACGCCACTTCTGCGAAGCCAATTGTCTCAATGTACGTAAAAGTCAAAGAGGCGACTTCAGGGAGGGACAAGTTGATTGTGCCGTCGTTGTACGAGAAGTCGATTCGCTTAACGAAGTTAAACTTAGTTGCGAGAACTTCGGAGAGTATTTTGACGCTCACAGTTCTTGCGCGCAAAGTTTATTCGGGACGTTAGAGGACGAGGTGAGGGTCCGATTGGAATTGCAAAATATTTCACAATGATGCGATGTTGAAAATTTTACGTGTTGGCAGATAAGATTTCAAACTGATTGCGAGTCTTAACTAGCAAGTGTACGTGGTTCTTTTTACTGTAAATAGATAATTGACTAAATAATAAAGGTGTTGCTCGATATGAAAAACCATTATGCGTTATAAGTCAAAACAAAAATTAATGTCTTAACATTAATCTTTATTTCTTGTAACACGTTACGACAAGATTCGTCTTATCAAGCTTTTGATAATTAATTTCAATCGAATCTACGTACGTAAACAACATCAAATTTGAAGTACCTAATATTGGCACAGATACAATCAATTCCGTAGAACCCTTCGCACTCTTATCGAACTTTGATTTTCTTATCCATCAATTCCATTGATAAAAACTCTATCGTCGATCGTAAAACGGATTATATCGGATTATACTCGTGCGACGTGGACTTGACTTTCAGGGGACAACCCTATAAATAAATACCCGACGTTGCAATTTTCCGACGTCGTGGAAAAATCGTAATTGTATCTCGCTAAATCTATTAGTCGCGGATGCAAATGTCGACTTAATAACCGCCTTCGAGCTCCTCGTAATCGGTCAACGTTCGATTAACGATCTAGAATCTCCGCGTTTAGCGATTAACGATTCACGATCCAGAGAATCCTTCCGTCCCGGTCTTTCGCAACCCCGTCGCGTCGTTTTATTTCGACGTGAGGCGTCGCATCGCGCACCGGTCGCCATCCGATAGCGGTCGTGATTTAAAACCGGTAGCACCGTACACGCGCCGTACCGGACTGCGTATTTTTAGAACGACCACCGCGATCGCGTGGGCGGATGCTGGTCATCGGTCCGGGAACGTTACTCTGTTCCGCGCGTGCAAACCGGACAGATCTCGAATTCGCGACGATCCTGTCGAATAAACCTCCGCGATTTCATTCGCGTGAGAAGTACTTTGTGACGAAACGCGAATCGCGCGTTTAAAAGCCTGGCGGACGTTAAGCCCCCGCTAAACTCTGCTTTGGCGCGAGCTTACCTCATGATAATAGATTATAACGCGCGCGCGCGCGTATAAATTATGTCGTATTCGCAACTGTGGGCGAAATACACTATATCTTCATTTGTCGGCTTCCATGGAATTCTAACGCTAACAGAGGCTCCTTATTCCGTGCATATATGCATATCTATAGTGGTAACAAGTGCACGCTCATCCACATTACTATGATGATTTAAAGCTTCTGCTTTAACGTCCAAAGATACTGATAGAAGCGTAAAGCCACTTATACGCTTGACTCTATATCTAGTCGCTTTCTAAAACGTTTGCAGCACACGTCGATTGATGTCGGTAAAATTTATTCCGTACGTTATTTTGGCGTGCTCGTTTCCTTAATTTTTCTCAAATCGAAGCTACGCAACGCCGCGGGTAGTCGGGGAATGATTCACACCTGATCCGTACCTGTTTGGCAAGTACGAGAACGCTCCGGCGAAGAAGAAACGTTCAAAGTTTAAGGTCTCGCGCGATTAACGAAGCGCCTCAATTATCGAGGCAATTATCGCGGCGGAAAGGAGCGTTATCACTCGTCGCGCGACACGCGTCTACGGCGAACATGTTCGAACGAGTTTCATGTCCCTCGTAGTATTACGGGCACACAGTTGCCGTCGTTTACGAGGTTAACGGCAAGAGCAGCGTTATTAAACGATCTCTGTAATGGGTGACTGTCAAGAGCGAAGCTGCTTGTCGCGGTTACATACGAGAGAAAAGTCAGTCTACTGTTTTTCTCTTCCTAACGTACTATCTCGTATATATATTCTTATCGCTATAACAAGTGAATTCACTTGCTGTAAATAAGGCGCAAAAATTATCTGTACCCTCGTCTCTCCCCGCGTATAAAGCTGCGTGGACGGCGGTGTGAGAAAAATGCATCGTACGAGAATCGTCCGTTCGATGACTCAACTTATCAGGTTGATGTTACGAATTGCGTTTCTTATCAGTTTTATCGGGTCATTGGTGCGTTCACCCTTCCCGGCGGTTCGTCGAACCAGATTTTCGCACGCTCGGTTTCTGTAAATATTAGACATTTAAATCGGTCAGAAGGCGCAACGAGACCGAATATATA